ATATATAATTTTCCTATTACCCACATTTTAAGAAGAAAAAAGAAATAGGTAAAATAATAATATATTTTATTTAACCCACTATTATTTAACCCACAATTATTGTATCAACATGCAATTGATACAGAAAGTATTAAGCAAACATTTCATTCATTTCTTGCAACAATTCTAATTCCTTTGTGTCTTTTACACTCGTGGCACAGCTCAGTTTGTAGCCACATCTCAGGCTGTCAGGAGCCACATGTGCTTAGTGGCCACCAACTTGGCAGCACAGCTGTAGAACTGCTCCAATAGTCTCTTAAGTTCCTGACTCTGACAGAAAAACAGTTAAAATTACCTCAGTTATTTCCAGAGAGAAGCAGACACCACCCAAGTTGCCTGTTTTGTAATAAGTAAAAGAGTTCAAGTAGCCATCCTGCAACACCTGCTTGAACTTTCTAAGCACTAATGTCCACTATCATCAATTGTTACTTCTCTGACCAGTTTTTTTAAACAAGTCATACCAACCGTGTTGATTTGGTGCTACAATAAAATTATACCCCTCACTTCTATGACAAACCTTTAGATTGATATATGACACTTAGGAGCCAAAGAGAATTGAAAACTGAAGTCATCCTACTTTACCTCATCCCCAAGTTCTTCCTCTTCACATTTGCCCAGTTCTAGAGAACTAGAGCTCATGGATTTGGGAGGAAAGAGTTGAAAACTTCATGCCACAATTCTGTGTGGCATTAGCAAGAAAGAATCCTTGAGGCTTGTGGCCATCTGGCCTCTATTAATGAATGGTGACCACCCCCAATAGCCAGCTTTCTGTTCATCATCACACACCACCCCAAGGGAGTAGGAAGAAAAAGAATACTTGTGTTCCTTCAGAGTAACTTAGGGTTGCCTTTCAGAATGGCTCCCCACTGTGTGGTGACTCTTCTGGAAGAGCTGATACTTGATCATAAATATATTTGAATATTGATTATTCCCCAAGTTTGATCATCCTCGCATGTCAAATTTGATGACCCAGCTAAGGGAGAGAGAGTGTGTGGCGAAGGTAGACAGTAAAAGTAACAGAGGCACCTAGCTAACTCAACACCACAAGTAACACTCTGGGAGGGCGTTCTTTCCCTACCTCCACTAGTGGCTCTGGAAGCAAGTCTCTGTTCAAAGAAGATTTCTTGTTATTTTGTCTTAGCATTTTCTTCATCTGTTGGTATTTATGAGTATCAGTGTGTTCCTGTTGGAAGTAGCAGCACCCAGGGACCATTTCAGTTAACACCCAGATATCCCTGGAGCTATCGCACTTTCAAAACAAAAAAGGATGACACATCATCTAGCTCACGATTCTTGGTCATAAGCTTTGTTGAGACAGAAAATTCTTACAGAGCTAAGAATTAATGGCATGTCGTTGTCCATTGAATGCATCTCTTTGACTGAAAGAAATTTTACTGAATGCAAAATTTCAGAAAATCTAAGATATGATGTCGCTCCCTTTGTGGAGCAAAGGCCCAACCCTCTGTGGTACTGGGGCCACTGAGCAATTTCTTATCTTATTTGGGTTTCTTTTGCCCTTTCTGTAACTCCCTGTGAGTCTTTGTCTTTATACACACACAAGCACACAAATGTTCTTGCCCTACCTCCCCTCTCCTCATTTGTTCTTTCCCTCTTATTTCACTTTTTCTTATTTGCTCATTTACAATTCCTACAAGAAACACTGGTAACAGCTACCTATAGCCATTGCCTTTTCAGAATTCTTGGTCAGAAATCTCCTGAGCAAATACTGGTAAGCTTACAATTCCAGAATGCTGTCTAGATCTACTCTCTGGTGTGGTCAGAATTTGTGACCTTTCTAGTTCACATGCCCCCAAGACCAAGTTTGTGTGTCCCGTATCTGTTGTAACTCAAGGTCCCTAACACCTAGCACAAGGACTAGCTCCTTGGACATGCTCTAAGGGCCACTTAACACAGACAAAGAGGCTCTGGTTTCTTGAACAGCACTGTTGTCCCTGCGCCTACATGGACGTTGATGGCAGTTGTTCACAGGGAGGGGACAACACCCTGCAGGAACTCAATGAGGATGTAGGATCCTGGATGAGGGCAGGGCTGGAAAACCTCTGTGATAAACAGAATATGGGTAGTCTCCCTAGAGAAGTGCCCCTCCCCTGGGTTAAAAGCTTATTGGTGGCTTCCAGGGGAGGAGATATTTAAGGAATTCAATATTCATGAGTTAAAGCACTCCTCATTGCAAAGAAGATACAAGTAGTCTGAAAGATAATTCTGAGAAGCAGGTCTGAGTTTCTTATCAGTACACAGCTTGTCTCTCTCCCTGCTTTTTTTTTTTCCTATCTCCCAACCCAGACCTTTTATTATAAGAACAATAGTATTTAAAAGATAGCAGATCAATAGCCACATTCTTCCACTGTAAGCTTTTTGGTGGCACCCAATGATCATCCCAGAACTAATAAAGTGAATCCAGATCCTAGATGTGGACCTTTGATTTCAAAACCCTTTCATTACACCACTGCTTTGTTCTACAAGAACCTGTTGAGGTTGGTCATTCTCACCCTGCCTCATATCCTTTGCAGGAACCTCACTGGTCAAAGATCTTCTAATTCTATGGTACTATTGACGTCTATACTTACTACAGAGCCATTTGCTCTCTGGCTACTTGATACATATTTATTGATGATAATGATGAAGCAAGAATATACTTCTCTTAAGAGCTTTGAGCATGGGAGAGAGAAAATCCATGGATAAAGGAGATAAATTTCAGTCATTCAAAGTCATTGCTGCAGGCATTCTATCCTTATGCAAGTGGTGGCCTTGGGAAAGCAAGGAATGTGTGAGGACCATGTGTGCTAAATAAACCAAAGACTGATCACCATCCAAATGGACACATGATTCTTCCGTGGACTAATTGATTTTTCTCCTGATGTTCTCACAAATAAAAGTGAAGATGGGTTACCTTAGGGGCTTTTGTTTCACGGGCTACTAATCAACCTTACTAAATCCACAAATCCATAATAGATGAATTGTGGCCTTAGTAATACACCATCTTTAAATTTTAGAGTTTAGTCCCTCTTTTACTTCAAAGCTTCAGACAAATCTAGCGCTTTATTGAACTCAGAATACTATCTGTTCTCTTTGAGAATGTGAAATTTTTAAATAGCCAAAGAATTTTCATGTATAAGAGGTAGCTCATTGTAGTATAACCTGATTTTGAAGAAAATACCAAATTGTCACCTGTATGGATGGAGCAGTTGAAGGACTGGCAGATGGATTTAGCAGTCTGAATTTGGGTTGGCATCCTAGGGACTTGCCATTCAGTAGAATGCTATTGTAAGGGTAGAGCGCCCTCTGCTGGAACGATATCTTGATTCAGCAAATTTATTTGACTTGAGTATTTCCTCAACAATGTGTGTTTTGCCTTTCATACAAACACACGATTTCCTCAATCCTTGAGAATTTGGATGACACTTATAAAAAGATTTGGAAAGACTGTCACAAATTCTGAAGAATTGGAGAAGACCTCGCCGCAGATCTGTCTTATAACATTGACATGTTCTATGGCTGTCTGGGAAGACGATGCCTCTGGCTGCGATGTGTGTGTTGAGTTAACAGCAGAGGTCTGCTTAACTTGTAACTTATCTCAACTTTCTTCTTGTGAAATCGCAAAGAAAGATCAATAAAAGAACTTCTTTCATATGAATGTAAATGGTGTGAAATACTGATCTGTTTTGTACATGTACATAATCTTCCTGCTTTGACCTTAGTAATGAGAAATGGTTGTACCATTTTATAATCACAAAGAGATTTAAGGGTGGGAGAGGGCGGGGAGGGGCTTTTATTTTTATAGTGGGATGTCCATTCTATTTAGAAAACTTGAAGTAATTTTGTATTTGTGAAAAGTTACATTCCATCCATTTCCTTGAGGGGGAAAAAAGAAAAGCATTGTTCCATACAATTCTCATTAGCTGAAAAGAGGGATTTTCTGTTTCCAGAGGAGTCTGCTAAGTTTAATATATGTGGAACCTAGTTTTGTAGCCTGTAGACCATAACCAGCAATTGCCAATTTAAAATTAAAGGGGAGGGACAATTTATTTGAATCTTTTTGTATAACACATTGTTATTTTGCACTGAAAAAAAAAAAAACTCCAAAGGATGAATTTGTCTAAATGAAATAATCAGACATGATGTTGTAAGCCAGTATCCAGCATCACCAGCCCCGACAAGCAAAAGTAAAATCCAGTGGCTTTAATTTTTCTCCTTGACATGAATTATGTGGTTTCATTGAAAAATGAATGGTTCCAGCATCAGTGTCTTATTGAGCTTGCCCACACAGTCATTTTGTCAGGTTCACAAAGTCACATGTATGCTGGCCCCACCTCAGCACTGCTCCTTACCTCACGGCCTGAGCAAACTGGGTTTCCTTGACTTATTTGCCTTATGAACCACAAATTACAAAAACTTACTGTCATGGTTGGCTTTGGTTTAAAGCCAACTAGACACACCTGGGAAGAGGGAACCTTAATTGAGGAATTTCTCCTATCCATTGGCCTGTGTCTGTGGGGTATTTTCTTGACTGTCGAGTAATGTGGGAAGGCCCAGCCCACAGTGGGTGGTGCCACCCCTTGGGCAGATGGTCCTGGATTGTGTAAGAAAGCAAGCTGAAGATGGGCCAGGGGAGCAAGCCAAGGAGGTAGTGTTCATAGTCTGCGCTTCAGTTCCTGCCTCCAGGTCCCTGCAAATTCCC